AAAAGTTGTCCGCCCCCGCCAACATTTTTTATCCCTTTTTTTTTTTTTTTACAAAAGTTTATTGCCCCCCCAGAATATTTTGTTGTATGAATATCTGAACATGCAATATGTCAAAACAAAGAACAGAGGCTCTGGTTAAACAAAATAATAAACACGATAATAAATTGTCCAGATGCATTACAATGTGAAAAAAACATTGTTTCCTAATTATCTGTCTTTCTATCATTTAAAAAAAGTTTTTTTTTTAAATTGGGACCAATAATTAGTTATTACAATTCTCATTACTAAAATGCATATATATATATATATATATACTGAAAAAAAAAAAAACTTTTACATTAAAATACAAAAAGCTGAAATATTCTCAGCTAAATGTGCTCAGTAATCTATATATAGAAAGTATATATATATATATATATAAAAGCCAGATGCATTGCAATGAGAATTGGAGGAAAAATGTGCTTCATTATCATAAAATAGATTATCACTGATTATAGTCCAAATGTCTCTGCAGGTTTTTCTGTCAATGCCTCATCTGAGAGACTCAACATGGGCGAGATTGAGACTGTGGAAGACTTTTGAGGCCTGCTGATCAACAAGCTCCCCCAACTGACAGTTTCCCTTCTGAACAGCCTCCCTTATATTCTCCTCAACCCTTTTCCTCTCTTCTGTTTTTTTTTTTTTCTTTTTGTATCCTCAATTCTTTGCTTTGGAGTAGATTCGGGGCAGCAAGTTTTTCTTCCTCCCTAATCCAGAGGAAACCACAGTTGCAATAACAGCGCTGCCCCACGGCCACGAAAAGAACCAAAAACACAGCGACCTGAGAAAAGGAAGAGAGAGGCTTGCTTCTGCAGGAGAGGAGTCAACCAATATCACAGTGTCCCTCCACCGAGATGGAGCGTCTGCTCACGATCATGCTCATCTCCTGACTGGTGTTTCTTTAAGTGTGAATAAAAGGAGTGCAGAGGAAAAAAATTATGTATTATCCCCATTTCAACTTCCTTTTTTAATTTATTCGTTCCTCCCCTCATTCTTTTAGTGTTTTCCATTTTCTTCCCTTCTCTCCGCTCCCGCTTTGCTGCCCCTATGTTGAAGGACGTCGAAAACAACGTAGGACTCGAGGAAATGTAATCAACAGTGTCCTGTTTTAAGGACAAGTTTGAAAGTTCCAGACAGTTACCCATTTCTTTGTAAAATATTAGGCTGTTTAAAGAATAAACTTTCAATTCTGCATCTGTATTATAATATATGGAAATGATGAACCAGTGGAGTCAAACTTTTTTTTTTTATTGCAGTACGATGAATAAATCAGCCTCTTGTGTGGGCTGTTCTGCACGCTTTTGCTCGTAATGCACAAAGCAGGGTTGTGCAAATGTTTACGCACATTGCAGATTCCCATGGTTATGGAAAACTTGGAAATTTCAGGACGTTTTACAATGGGAAATGCCTATAATATACATGTTTCTAGTTACGTTCGACTAAAGTATTTCATTGACTTTCAGTACCTCTTTATGCAAGTGAATTTCAATCGTTATGATTGACTAAAAGTTATGAAATTCATAGCAGCCCTGTCTGTATGTTTAACCTGTTACTTGGGTTGAGTTTCTTGTTTATTTCCTAAAATCAACAGTTTGTTTTTAGTTTCTCTTTGGTTGAGTCTCAAGTCAAAATTAGACCTAATTCTGGAACGTGTTCCTAATTACCACAGAAAATATTTTAGTGCATCAGTATTTAAAAACAAGTGCAGTCCTTTAATCAATTACAATTGAAGTGCATTGCACCAGGGTAAACATTTAAATGCAAATGTTTTTTAAAGTATAGCTACAAGACATGAAATGGTTTGTGCTGTTAATATGATACTAGTGTCATATACAAGTTTTCAAATTTTTTCAGTTTATCCAATTTTCAGTTTACCATTTATTTGTAGTTTTCTATGAAAAGTGTAAAAAGCGGTGAGATTCAAGGCCAAAGAGTCCCTTCACAAACCGTTACATGAAAGTTTGTAGCAGTTTGTTCCTGTCTGGTGTTTATGGAGGGGGCTCAGCATCTAAGACTAATATTGATATGTACTATATGCTCATGTCTCCATAACTTCAGTTTGGTGGCAGGGTGCAAAAATGTCTTGCAGGAAAAAAATTCTTGAAATTACAAAGAAAAACCGTATGAGACTGTATTTTACAGCTACTACAAGAAAAAAATACATGACAATTTTCCACAGGATGAAGTAAACCAATATTTTATGAGGTGGTGACTTTGTATGAATTTGCATCATGTTAATCATGCGAAAACATTCTTTTTAGATTAGAAAAAGTGAAGGTCTACACATTAACAGTCTTAAACATGTCTAAACAGATTGTACGAAAATGTAAAAATGTGATTGTATGAATTAGTACAAATTCGCCACCAATTTGCCAAAATGTAAATGCTGTGAGATTGATTTTTTTATTTTTATTTTTTCCCGCTATAATGCTGCATCAACATCCAGGACTGGAACTAACCACTTTTTAATAATTGATTATAATAAATATAGTAATGCCCAGGGTGCTTTACATCGATTTTTAATTTAATTACATTAATTAAATTTAATTACATCGATTGTAATAAAATTGGATTGCCTTCTTCATGACCCACCTCTTATGATCTGAAATCCAACAGAAAAGCAGCCCGGGCCGCTGATGGACATGAAGGCATGATGCTGCAGGAGTGGAAAGAGTCACTTATCCGGGTGTGAAGAGGGTGTGCAGTTACTAGAAGAGTTGACAAAAGTCTTCACTGTCCATACAGAGTCCTCCCACCTAAACCCAGCTACGCCTGCCTCTCTCACTCAGTCTCTCACTTGCTCTCTGTGTTCTTTCATTAACGTGAGCAGAAGAGTCCGGCCAGGAACCATGGGCATCTGCAGCAATTACAGTGGTTTATCTCGGCTCGTCTTCATTGGCGCTCTGGCCATCTGCATGGCTTTTGTGCAGTCAGGTAACATCACCTCCTTCCCATCTAATCAGTGATGGGCTTCTCATAGTTGTGTTGAGTTCCTAGGAAAGATTTAATGGGTTCTGATTTGTTGGTGGCTACAGGTGAGAAATTGAGTTTGTCAGTTTTAGTAAAAAAAATTTGTTGCTAGTCTTGATGCAAGAGGTGTTGAATCAGTTTATGAATTTGTGGCCATGATAAAGAATGTCCAGAAAAACCTTGTTTGGAAATACCAAATTGTGCACACGTCATTTTCGCCTTGTTGACCATTATGATTTTGCAAGGCCCCTTTCGGTGCCATGAATAGCCATTGCTGAGCATGAAAGTAGGACATTCAAAGTTGAACATTTGCAAAGTGATTTCTGTTGTATGATAATTGCTTTGGGCTTCAAAATCAAAATATGCCATATATATATATGTATGTATGTGTATGTGTATATATATATATATATATATATATATATAACAAAAGAAGAGATTTTTGAAATGTTTCATTGAACGTATCTTTATTCTTGCAGACTAAAGCGTCATGCTGACTTCAGTGATTCAGACATTCTCTTTTTCACAACCAGGTGTTGAAGCTGAATTTAGTCCTGGGTTCAGTGCTTACAAGGACAAAGAGATAGTTTGTTAGGCTCTAGGGAAAAACAAGACATAAACAGCTGCACAAAGTTCATTTGTACATCCAAAAAAGCATAATTTTTAATAAGTATAATTGCAAAACGATTGCCATTTATGACCATCATCTCTTAGTGCTGAATAAAATAGTTCCAAAAAATATATTGAAATGCACAAACCTGCTCATAAAATGGACGAAAATGGCACTTTACGGCAATCTCAGACTTTCCAGCCAGAATACATGATGTAATACTGCACTTTTACATATTCAAGGTCTAAAGGAAGTGGTGATGGCACAGTTGCTTGATGTTTCTCATGTGAATGCATGGTTTCAAAAGTCTGGATGATCATGATGTCACAGTCTCTTCGGATAAATTGCCAGTATTTCACTACACTCACTAAAAATGAAGTTTCTTTACTGGCATCAGTGGTTCCATGAAGAACCTTTAACATCCATGGAACCTTTCCATTCCACAAAAGTTCTTTATATTTTTATAATTAATTTCTTACTAAGAAAAATGGTTCTAAGAACTGTTTATACTGAAAGGTTCTATGGAAACCTGCAGTTTCTTCTGTGAAAACCCCCTTTGAAACCTTTATTTTTAGAGTGTATGTTGAAGAACTCTTGAAAATAATAGACTTTTTTGCATTATAATAATTACTAATGATTTTCCTTTTACATGAAAATTCTTGACTATTAATTTTTAATGCATGATGCTTCTCCTCAGCCATAACTATGGCTGCTTGTTGGTATTACTTTAATGTAATTTGCCATTTTTTGCTTTATTTCACGTTTACATGTAAAAAATCACGAGGACAACAAATTCTGTAATGCTAAACAGCTTGGACTAGTGATGACTAGTCCTTGTCAAGTCCAGTCACATTTATTTATATAGCTTGTTAGACAATAGTTAGACAGGGCGTGAGGTGAGATGAGGACATGGGGGATTGTGTCATTCGCATGCACCTGTCTGCATGCTGTCATCTCACAGTCGTCCACAGCCTTGTCCTCTCGCCAAATGTTTAAGCAGGCCAAGAAGTGACGAACACAAAAAAAAGTGTATTTTTTCAAATCAACAGGTTACGCACGCTGACGCCGAGGTGTGTGCTTTTCCACAGACTGGCTTCATAAACAAGCTTGTTTGACTTGCAGTGTACTGGCTGTGTTTAGGCCGTTGGTTCCTCTGCCTCAAGCTGTCCTCTCTGACCACACAAGCGCCCTTTTGTACCCTCAAGTAAAGGGCTCATTGATGTATCGCTGGCCTCGCGCCGTACCTTCAACCTGCTTCGAGTCAGGAAAGTGTGCGTCTCGCTGAGCAAACTGACTATTATCAAAAATACTCGTGTGTTGGCCATCCTCGACTTGGTGACTCCAAATATTAACCTTTTATTTTTACGATTTTATTTTAAGATTTAGGGTGCAATATGAGCATTTTAGTGTTTAGATGCATGGAAAGGTGGTATACGTGGCTGCTGCGTGTAAATACTTTGATTTTCAACAACAAATGAGCTGTCTGTTATGTGCGAGTTTAGTTTTAGTTCGTTTTTGACCCATGCCGTTGGGTTGTTCCAGCAGGGTCAGGCTTGGTATCCCGCTGTTTGTCCATGTTCACTCTGTCTGTCTTTGTCCCTTCATTTTGGGGTCAGAACCTTTGTCCATAAGGTGCCCTCTGGGAACTTTGGGCAGACTGTAACATAGGAAATCAGCTTTGGGCTCAGTGAGTATGGTGTAGGTGAGAAAAGTGGCATGGCTGTTCCATGCCTGCGGGAGATGTGGAATGTCAGTGAGAGATGTGAGGAGAAGAAGAGGGGAGGAACGTGCAGGATGGGATAGCTCGGCTGTAGTGCTAATCCTCCATAAAGACGCTCATATTGAGTCATATAGAACGTGACTGACATTTGCCACTTTCTGTGCATTCCCTGTGCTCAACGTTCAGGGAAAAAAACATTCAACTTTTGCAGCTCACTTTAACAAGTACCAAATTTTTTTTTTGGACATTCTTAACACAAATGTGTTTTGCAAGATCTTAGGTTGAGCAAAGCAACCATTTTTGTATCTTCATAAGAACTTTTTTCTTCTTATGATATCTGGCCGGTGGCGTAAACTATCTTGCTGGTCTCAAAATTTAGTAAGTAGGTTACATAATAGATTGACTTTATGTATAAAAAAAATTATGTATTGTGTTTATTTATGTATGCATTTATTTAGTAAGTATTCTAACTTGTAGTTATTATTTAGTTATTTTAATATATCATATTAGATTATTTTTATTTATTTATTTAGTAACTCACATGTGCTATTATTTATTTATTTAAATATATCATTGGCTATTTTTATTTATTTATTTACTCTAATATTTTTAACTGCAGCTATTAAATGACTAAATGTAAATGTATTATTAAGTAATTATTATTAAGTAATTTTAATATATAATCATAGGTCCCTTTCGTTTGTCTTATTTATTTACTATTCTTAGGTGTAGCTATTATTTAGTTAACTATATCATCGTTATTTATTTATTTATTTGGTATTCTTACTTGTAGCTATTATTTACTTGTATTTATGTCATCCCAGGTTATTTTTATTTATTTATTTAGTACTCTTACTTTGTAGCTGTTGTTAGGTTTAAATGTATAATCATATATATAATCATAGATTCCTTTCATTTGTTTTTTTTTTTTATTTAGTAGTATTACTTGTAGCTATTAGTGATTTAATTATATCGTCCTAAATTCTTTTTATTTTATTTGTTTTTTTTAATGTTCTTGCTTTTTTTTTGATATATCGACTTACTTAAATATATATGTGTGTGAGTGTGTATGAAAGTGTGTGTGTAAATATCTTTTGATCTATCTCTCACATTTTTTACCTTCCATCAGAAACAGTTGCTGATTCCTCCCCTACACTGCAGAATGATAATCAGGACACACTATCTGGCGCTGGAGGCTACGATGTGACAACAAAAGTCCCTTTCCAAGACCCCACAGAAAACGCCTTCACTTTTGATTATGAGGATGGTACACTCTCAATAACTCTGGATGAGGAGGAAGGTAAAGTTATACCACTGAAAAGTACGTACTAAAGAGATCTTTTATAGTTTTGTATTTTAGCAGACGCTTTTATCCAAAGCAACTTACAAAATAGTGTTACGAAAGTTATATGTCATTATATGAGGTCTATCATAACAAGAACTTAGTTTCATTCAAAGTCGATCTTATTGTGTGTGTTATTTCTGGTTTCAGTTGTGCTGGGGCCAGGTGCTATCACAGCTATCGTCATCGCCGTGTTCCTCGGAGCCTCTGTTCTTCTCGCTCTCATTGTTATCACGCTCAGAAAGTTCACTGCCTCTTAAGAAGGGACATTTATGTTCTCATTTCCTCCCTTTCTCAATCCCATCTCTTCTTTTTACTCTCCTCTGAACTGTATTTTTAAGTGTCTCATTGGTGGCAGGCCCTTCATGAAATGGATGCTCTTTACTGAGGCCTGTTTTGTGATTTCTTTCTCCTATAAAACTCAGGCTAAGGCTGAACAAAAGGGTAACTGCAATCAAGAGAAATTTTGGTTGCATTTGTTCGGTGACCATATAATCATTGTTGATATCCTCTTGTAATAAGGTTTAGAATGAAATATTTAAAGAAGGTAGAATTATTATATTAAAGTCACATTTTAAGATATCGTTTATTACCATCCATGCGCAACTAGTTTTATTTTGTTTCATGCTGTATTCTAAAGTATACTAAGTTCCAATGTTCTTGGCATTCTAGCTGATTTGTGTAAAATGATCATGTCCTTTAGCGTTTAAGATAAAGTGTGTGTGTGTGTATTAAGAGAAATCAAAGTCTTTGAGAGTGAGTGTTTTAACTGAACTTTTATACATAAACAGGAATTTGTTTGTCGCCTTGTGATTGGTCACTGAACAGATAAAAAGACCACGTTTAATCCTCTTCCAAGAGTAGTTTCTTTGGTTTAATTTCTATTTTTTAATCTAAATATATTTCGAAATAATTTTTTCCTCTGGTTATTTATCGTGTTGTTGCCTATTTCTATATTATATTTATGGTCAGTTTGAAGAGGAGACCATCCTTAAAAAAACATAACAAAATGAGTAACCAGTGCTGGGTTGTACTTTCATGAACCATAGTTTGGGAAACCTTTGCATAATATTATGCTAAATTAATGAAATATGTTGTTATTATTATTGTTTTGTATCCATAGTGGTACAAGATTATCAATGTGATCAACAGGTTAAGCCAAAAGTAATCAAAAAGTATTTAGCAAAAAAAAAAGTAGTCTGTCCAAAAGTTGGGTCCATCAATATATTAATGTAGGCTACTTGTAAGTTGTAAACAAAATGTTATGTAGTGTGTGTATTTTTATTTTGAATTTGTACTGGCGTGGTTAAACAGTGTCCTACAACCAGTTATAAAAAGAGAGCTCATTCTGGGGCATTATTGCAAGGTCCATCTGTAGTTCCGCTTCCTCGTTTGTGGTCAGAGACCTTGCCAACAGAGGATCACAAGTGGATTGGCAAAAGGCTTTTCAAAATGAGATCCAAGGGAAAGCCAGGGCTTCGTGATAACCTCCAGCTCTGGTATTACCCACCACAGCCAGCACTTATTTACAATCAGGCTCCAGCTCCAGACAGATTCTTTTGTCATTCTCTTCTGCTGTGTTAGTCGCATAACATTGGTTAATGCAAACGCCGTCATTTCGCAATACTTTTTTTTTAATCGACATTTATAAAATATCGCCAAAGTTTTGCGCAAATCTGTAATGGCAACGCGCCTAATGACTGCCAGTAAGACGGTTTTAAACTGTTAAGGACTTAGGGTGATGTTAGAACTTTAAATCACGTCGGCTCGTTGGTCTAGGGGTATGATTCTCGCTTAGGGTGCGAGAGGTCCCGGGTTCAAATCCCGGACGAGCCCTGTTTTTGTTTTCTTATTTTCCAATATGTGCACTATTAAAGTGTGGACTGTTCCTCCGAGTTTTCTAGAAAAAAGAATATGTGGGAACGAGATTTAATAAAGCTGACGGTTCTTTAGCGTTTATTTCAGAGCTTAGCGTCAACAGCCGTGCTAACATTGTACTTACAGCGCCTCTCTGTGGTAAAAAATGCAAGACCCATCCAGTATTGTCAGTAGTTGACAAATAACCAATACTTCCTCAAAGGTATATTGACAAATAATGTAGGTTTCGGGAGAAAAAAAAGTTTTATAGTCGTTTCTGGATTTTTTTCACTTGTTCTAATCATTTGCTGTAGGAATTTATTATCTGAGGCCTCCTCGGAGCTTTGTGAGGATTTTTCAAACTATTTTACTCAAAAAATTGATGCTATCAGAACCTCAATTGCTCCTTCTGAATCATTTAATTTGCAATTGCCTTGTACCACAAGTTGTTTGTCTTCCTTTCGACCTGTTTTATCACATCAGCTAGATGATATTGTCTCTACTATGAAGTGTTCAAGTTCTAAGTTAGATATTATTCCTGCACGTCTTTTTAAGGATGTTTTTCCGACTATTAGTCCTATTGTAACAGCTATAGTGAACAGCTCTTTAGCTAAAGGTGTTGTTCCAGCCAGTTTTAAACATGCAGTTGTGAAACCTCTGCTGAAAAAACCTCAGCTTGACCCAGCAATGTTCTGTAACTATCGGCCAATTTCTAAGTTGCCCTTTATCAGCAAGCTTTTGGAGAAAGTAGTGTTTTTACAACTTCAGTCTTTTTTGGATTCTTTTAGTGTTTTAGATAAGTTTTATCTGGTTTTAGATCATTACACAGTACTGAGTCAGCTCTATTGAGAGTTACAAATGACATGCTGCTTTCTCTGGATTCAGGTGCTTGTGTTGTGTTGGTATTGTTGGACTTGAGCGCGGCATTTGACACCATTGACCATAGCATTCTTCTTGATCGACTTGAATGTGTGGTAGGTATTCGAGGCACTGCATTAAAGTGGTTTGCCTCGTATCTCGAGGACAGGACTTTTTCTGTAAATTTAGGAAATTTTAATTTCCATTTCCATTTTAATTTTTTCATCCGCTGCACCTGTCTTGTGTGGAGTGCCCCAGGGATCCATTTTGGGACCTTTACTGTTTTCCCTTTATATGCCTCCCTTGGCCCACATTTTTTTAAAATACAGTATTTCATATCATTGTTACGTGGATGATTCTCAGTTTTATCTACCAGTAAGGCTTGATTCTGCTGTTTCATTTGATGTTTTATTGAAATGTGTACATGATATAAGACATGGATGTCTAACAATTTCCTGCAGTTAAATTAGGATAAAACTGAGGTTTTAATATTAGGTTGTCCTGCACTTTTGTCTCCTGCTTTGGAAGCTCAGTTAGGTCCACTTTCAACTAACGTACGCAAACAAATCAAAAACCTTGGAGTGATTTTTGACTCCTCTCTATTTTTTGATAAACAAATTAGTGCTGTTATTAGAGCAAGTTCTTTCCATTTGAGATCAATTGCAAAGTTGAAGCATCTTCTTTCAAGGAAGGATATGGAAGTTGTGATTCATGCACTTGTTACATCTCGATTGGATTATTGTAACTCTCTTTATTCTGGTCTTCCTCAATCTTCAGTGTCACGATTGCAAGCTGTTCAAAATGCTACGGCAAGATTTTGACTGGGTCAAAAAAGAGGGATCACATTTCTCCTGTTTCATTGGCTTCCCGTTAAATTCAGGGTAGATTTTAAAATTCTTCTGTTTGTTTACAAGGCATTGTCTGGTTGTGCACCAAGTTATATCTCTGAACTTCTTGTGCCATATTGTCCTGCTGCTAGGGCACTTAGATCTTCGAGTCACTTGCTTCTAACTGTACCACGGTGTAGGTACAAATCAAAAGTGATCGTGCTTTTTCTGTGGTTGGCCCCAAGCTTTGGAATGGTCTCCCCTATCATGTGAGATCTGCTCCTTCTTTGGACATTTTTAAGTCTAGACTTAAATCTTATTTTTACTCTTTAGCCTTTGTATGTGTGTAGTTGTTGTTTTTATTAGTAGATTTGTTTGATCACTGTACAGCACTTTGGATCAATTTACATTGTGTTTAAATGTGCTTTATAAATAAATGTTGTTGTTGTTGTTGTAAGAATCTGACATAATAATAACTATGTAATGTGGACGCAAAAAGCTATTGACCCCGACGTGATTTGAACACGCAACCTTCTGATCTGGAGTCAGACGCGCTACCGTTGCGCCACGAGGTCGGTTGCGCTTATTTCTTCCTTACTGGTCTTTGTCTAATCATATGCCTATTGACTTTTTTGATGGTGTGCATTTTGGATATAAATTAAAGTATAAAAAAGATGTGGGAATGTATTTATGTATCATTCAAACATACTAACTTGGGTGACTAAATGTCATGGTGAAGAAGTTGTAATTAGGTACGATATGTTGGAAACGGTGGCTGGTTAGCTCAGTTGGTTAGAGCGTGGTGCTAATAACGCCAAGGTCGCGGGTTCGACCCCCGTACGGGCCAAAGTGTTTTTACCAGTTTGTTCACTTGCCATTGCTTTTCAAAGGACTAAATAGATCATTTTAATAAATAAGGATAAAAAAAGGTTAATAATCAAAAGTGGTGATTATAGACCATTACTAGAAAGCAACACAGATGGTAAAACAAACAAACAAACATGTTAAATGTAAAATGCAGATGTTTAAATTATATATATATATATATATGTATATATTATTATAATTTTTTTATTTTTATTTTTTTATTTTTTTAATGTTGTGTGCACTGCACTAATGTTACAATAAAATGTAACATCTGCAAGGTTCTAAATATACAACTGCTATTAGGGGAAGTCGTGGCCTAATGGTTAGAGAGTCGTACTCGTAACCCAAAGGTTGTTCGAGTCTGTCTCGTACCGTCAGGGATTGTACCACGACTGTACCACGACTGAGGTGCCCTTGAGCAAGGCACTGAACCCCCAACTGCTCCCCGGAATGTACAGCGCTCTCTCCCCCCCCTTCAATACCACGACTGAGGTGCCCTTGAGCAAGGCACCGAACCCCCACACACACACTTTGGATGGGTTAAATGCAGAGCACTAATTCCTAGTATGGGTCACCACCATACTTGGCCACATGTCACGTCACACTATTTGAAACATGTCTTTTTCTGCGTAATAATCAAGGAACTTTGCTGCCGTGCATGACTTCCGTCAATGATATTAGTCATTTTCTAGCCATATCGGTCTAGAAAATCACAACTTTTCATTTTCCGTCAGTCTTAGTACACGATGTAACTACAGAAGAGTCAAGTTTTAAATAGGAAAAATTGAAATTGAAACTCTTTGGTCATTTTTGAGCGAGATGCTAACGGTCTAATCAGATTCAATGATCTATGCTAAGCTACAGCTAAAAGTGCTACCGCCAGATCCGGAGATCGGCTGAATGCATTCGAAAACTGTAAAACTCAACTGTTTAATTCTTAGGGGAGTTGGAAAATAAGCCTATTTTCAAAAATAGTGGAGTG